GGCGGGGAGGTGCCGGGCCTTGGTCGCCCCCTCGAAGCGGGCGGCACAGAGACGGGCGGCCCCGGATGCAGCTTCGGAGCCCAGAGCCTGCCCGCCCGGTCCCACTCCAGCCGGGCGCTTGCCTGAGGGTGGAGGGCAGCCAGAGGCTGGAGGGTGGGCTGGGCAGCGCCTCTGCGCCGCAGCGGAAGTGCCTGGCTGGGATCCCTCCTTTGGGCGGCCCTTTCTCCCTGCTGCTGGGCTCTGCCACGAGAGGAGGCTCCCGCCTTGCCGCCTCAGACCACAGAGCCCATGTTTGTATGGGACCGGAGGCCGCCGGGGATGCCCGGCCTCTATGCGCAGCCGAGCCCACTGGCTGGGGATGCCCGGGAGAGTGTGCTAAGTCTCCCGCGAGGAGCGACTTGGGGAGGCTGCTGGGCGGGGAAGGTGTCTAGGGAGAGTTGGCGTGTGTTGGGGGCGCACCTTTCCTTGATCCCTGGACGACCCCTGGCTAATGGGCTGGTTGGCCTGTCCCCCCTGCCATGGCGGTCAAGTGTTAGGAAGGTTGGGGGGGTCTTCCCTGGGCACAGGCTGGGGACACTAGAAGCACTGCTGACCTGGCGGCTGTCCTGGTTTCTGTGGTGGGGGGCAAGTGCCCTGCGGAGAGGCTGCAGGAGGGCTGGGCCAGGCTGCCAATGACTTGGGGGTACCCAGCTTCCTGGCTGTCCCTGGCAGTGGCGCTCCACACCTGATCCCTCTGCAGGGCCCCTCTTTTGCCTGCTGCCCCCAGGTGGCTCTGGGACCGTGAAATGGTCGCTGCCTCCTTCGCGAAGGGAGCGGAAGGGGAGGGAGGAGAGAGGTTCAGAGTGTATGAAGCTCAAAGGTTTCCCCCATCCCTCTGGTCTCCTGCCATAAGGCCCCCGGAAAAAGCCCTCAGGAGCACCTTCCTGGGGCTCTGGGGCACCCGAGCATGACTCGGATCGTGGAGGTCAAAGGTAACCCAAACGTTGCAGGAGAAAAGTCCGGCTGCTAATTTGGGGGGGGGGGCGCACAGGGTGCTTGGCTCCCTCTCCTTCCAGACCAGGCCCATCGAACAGACTTGCACTGATAGGTTTAACTTTTCCTAATTCTGCATTCTTTAGAAATCTACACAAAAATCATACTCATCGCCTCATTTGCCTTTTAGCACACCTGGTGAACTTAGAGCTGCATTACCGAACTTGGGGGAGCTCAATATCTGAAGAACAATCCATTTCAGTGGGGTCTCAGCCCGGCGGGCAAAGAGGTCCCCTCTCCTAGGGAAAGCGAGGCTCCAGCCTCCCAGTTGCCCTGGCCTCAGGGTGCTCGCGGGGTGCGGCTCAAAGTCAAGACGGCAGCCATGATGGCGCAAGGCACACAAAAAACAGGCAGAGCTTGTCGTGGCTGCCTCTTGACTTTGAGGCCACGTCCCGTGGGCACCCCTGCCCGACCTGGTGCGTGATGGAGCTTCTTGTCTGGTTAGCTTTTTTCGTCTGGGGACAACAGACGCAGCCTGGGGGCCCAGGAGCCATTTCCACTGGGCCCGGGGGGCCAGCGCCCCCACGATCACGGGGCCTCCAGTTCCCGGTTTCCCTCCCATTCGGGGTGCACGAAGCCGAAAGGCAGAGGGCTGCTCCCCTACTGAAAGCAGTCTGTAGGCAGAGGAGAGCAGGGGCAATCTGTGGATCCGTGGATCCTCAGAGATTACTGCTCTCCTGAGTCCAAAAGGCTCACTGAATTGGCTGCCTTTTCCCCTGCTGTTGAAGCGTGGTCATTGATGCTCTCCAAGATGAGACACACCCACATTTCGCCCTCGGACCCCTTGCCTGCATGCCAGAGCTGGCAGGCAATGGGAAAGCGGCATCCTGTGCGTGAGCAGAGGCTGCCTTACATTCACTCCAAGGCTGTAAGTCGAACGCTGCTCTTGAACGGTGGGCCTGTGGCTGGGCACAGCCAGGTCAGGGTTAATCTTTGTCCTGGATGCCTCTGAATAGGCGTCCCCGGAGGATGAAGAAGGTAGCTCTGAGGTGCTTTGTCAGAGGCAGTCCGGTCCGTCCGGGCCATTTCAGAGCTGCCCTGGATCCAGGAAGGGTTGCTCCAGTCACCATGGTCTGCTTGGCA